AAAAGACCAGTTAGGAGACTCTGTGGTAATTATGATAAGCGAGAGGGCCTGAACGAGGGCAGTGACTGAGGGGTTACATAAGAGGAGGCAGAGTGAAGAGAGATGAGACTTTAATTAAATGTATCATTGGGGGCAAGTTAGAGGGGGAGAGTACATATAGCAAATAGTCTAGGATGAATCCCAGGATCCTCCCAATGCTAAGTCTTTGGCAGTAATGTCCAAAACTCTTTGCACATATCTTAGGAGATTTGAGGCTAGAGTTGCAGGGAAATGTTGGGGCTGGACACGGCTCCCTTGTTTTCCTGTTTCCGGCAGTGGTAGATAAGGTTGTTTCCCCGACAAGTTCTTAAAGAAAAAGGTACAGGTAAACCAGATGGTCCTGTGACCTCTCCCTGTTCCTGAGAGGCTGTAGATGAGGAACGAATGTAAACCTGGACTATGTAAACTGCAACTGCCGCTGTGTTTTTGCTACTGGCAGCCATTCAATCCAGCTCAAGTAAAGAGGTTTCCTCACTCAACCCAACTTCTCAAAACCTCCCATGGGGCTGTCTCCAGGAATAAAACTTTATTAACATGTCCAGACTAATGAAATAATTTTTAAACTTCAGACTTTAAAATGAAGGCTTTTCCTATTTCTCAGCATGACCCTATTGCAAACGGCTGTGTTCAGGGGGAAATGGGGGTGGCCCTTAGATGCCCATCTTTCCCGTCCCCAGCTTGCTAACCCTCTTTCTCAAGGGTTTGAGCACAGTGGAGGGAGGAGAGACGAGGAAGGTTGTTACTCAACTGATACGACCACAGAATAATTTCAGTGTGTGGCAGCTATCTAAAGCTGCCTCTTTCTCAAGAAGCCCTTTTGGAGGTTTTTCAGAGATTCCCTCCCTGTTGGCGGTGATTTCTCTTATACCTAGTTACTTTAATGTGGGAGAATTTATTTCCTTTAGTTTGGTCTCTTACAACTCCTTTAGAAATATCCAGGCATTAAAAAAAAAAAATCAATTTCATTGAAATATAATTAACATACAATAAAATGCACAGATTTTAAGTGTATAGTTTGATAAGTTTTGGCAAATGTGTACACCCATGTAACCACCTCCTGCCCCTTCACAGGCAATCAATTCCAGCCTCAGGCAACCCTATACCTAATTAGAAATCTGTAGGTATTTAACAGTTTATCTCATGTTTCCTTCTGCGGAGCTCTCCTCAACCTTTCAGATAGTATCTCTGACAATATAAAGAAACCCTACTACTTCCTTACATGGCTACATCTGGTCTATGGGGAGCACTCGTGAGCCCCTTGTCCTGAGAGACAATGGGAACCTAGGCGAGTCTCATCACAGCCACCTTGTCTTGCTCTACCAGAGAACAGACCGTTAACAGTTCTCTTGACTTTTTAGATTTTCCATTTATAAGTCAGGCATGAGTTCTCAGTGCACCCCAAACACATTACTCGTATCAATCTCTCCAAGTCAGTTCCTTAAAACCCTCTCAACTTGAACTGGGGCAGGGGTAGGGGGACTCGAAGCCTACTAGTGATTCCGTCTAAAGATCTTCTCCCAGTGTCTGAATTTCTCTCCCTTTTCTCAATGTGAGTGAAGTGATTAAGGGTTTTGCAAACTTGTTTTTCGTATCCCCTTTTTGCAAGTCTTGCACAGTCATCTCATACCTCATTTTGGAATGTGGCATCTGCTGTCTTGGATCCTCAGCAGAGACTGAGATCAGATCTCCCGAGACGCCCATAAACCACTAGGAGAGGATGCCAATTGTTTCGGGGCTCTGAGGGGATATTATTGGTCCAAACTGTATTTTTACAAATTCCTTAGATGAGAGACCATGCGTGAACATGTTCCATAAAAAGAGGCCCCTAAAGTAAAATTGGAAACTAGATACCAAAGGATAAAATTGATTTTGAAAGAACATGGTAAGGGACAAGTTTAGGACAAATAAGAGGTGGTAGATTTCATCCATATACTCATTTATTGAAAAATATTAATAATCTAAGACTAGCAGTCTCCTGGGTGATAGGAATACAAAAAAAAAAAAAATGACACAAAGTTCTTGTGCTCAAGGAGATCATAATGGCCTAGCAGAGAAGACAGAAGTAAATCACAATTAAAATAGGCATGTGAGTGAAAATACATTCAACTCTTGGGAACTAAAAATAAGAGAAATGTACAAAGTGGTCGAGTGCAAGGAAGAGGCACCCAACTCAATAATAGGAGCTTTGGTGTCAGTGAAGTCTCCCAGAGGAAGTGACCGAAGCAGTGAGTGAAGGGCAGATAGGAATGTTAGCTGGATGAAGGAGGGAAGTATATTCAAAGAGGGCAGACTGAAAGGGCAAAGGCATAAAGGCTTCTGAAGACAGTGGAAAATTTGAGGAACTGCAAATAGTTTGATATGGCAGAAATGAAGGTATGAAGTTGGAGAGGAAGGCAGCACCAAGGTAGGGAAGCCATGATGAGTCATTAAAGAATTTTAAACTGGCAAATGACATGATCTGATTTGTACCTTTGAAAGATCATTCTTTGTGGTATGGATAGTGAATTGGAAAGAAGCAGAATCAGAGGCAGGGAGACGAGAGAGGCGGATGTTACCATGACCTGGGCAAGAAATGGTGAAAACATTGGGACTGGGGATGAATTAGAAGGGAGAGGTTTGAAGACATTTCTAAGACACAGTAAATGGAACTTGGTAACAGGATGGATTGGATTAGAGGAATGGAAGGGAGGAGTCCAGAAAGACTTCCAGGTTTCTGGTTTGAGGTATTTATTGGGTGGTGTGCTATTCAGGGAAACAAGAAAAATAGGCAGAGAAGCAGAATTCAATTTTTTCATTTCATTTGTACATTCAACAGACATTTATTAAAGGCCCATTATATGCTATGAATAGACAAGTAAATCAATGATTAAAATGTTCTGTGAAAAGTGTCACTGTTAGAGGTATGCACAGGGGAGCAATTGAATAAATATGACAGGTATGTAAGTCACACTGAGGAATTAGGGGAAGCTCTTGGAGGAGACAATGCCTAATCTGAGTTTCCTTTCAAACAAAATCGAGGTGAAATTCACATAATATAAAATTAACCATTTAAAAGTATACCATTCAGTGACATTTAGTACATTCAAAGTGTTGTTCAACCACCACCTCTATCTATTTCCAACTATTCTGAGTTTTGAGGGGTGACTAGGAGTTTGCTAGATGAAGAACAGGTGAGGGAAAGCATTTTGGGCTACGAGAATAGCATGTTTGATGGCATGAAGACCAGAAATGGCACGATTAGAGAATGCAGAAGGGGGAGTATTGAAAGACAAGGCTAGAGAGGCCCCAATAATAAAATGTCCAAATTTTAACTTGATCCAGAAGACATGGGGAGCCTTTAAAGGGTCCAAAACTGGGGCTTGACATGATCTAGTTCACCTTTCCAACAGATTACTCTGGTAATGCTTTGGACAGGAGGAAGCCAAGAAGGCAAGTTGGGAGATTTTATGCAGTAATCCCGATGAGAGAAAAAGTCTAGGCAAGGACAATGGTAGTAATAAAGGAGGGAACTGAAAACAAGATTTAATAAAGATGCAGAGTTTACATTCCTTGATGACTTATTAGACATCAGACTAGAGGAAGACTGTAGGGTGAGTCCCACTATTCTCCCTTGGGTGGTGGTGGCATCCTGGGATGAGATTTTGGCAGAAAATGATAATTGCAGGTTGGTGGGTTAAGTGTGAGTTTCCCAAGATTCAATTAAGTGAAGGGTCTCGGAGTCAGTTTAATAAATGGATCTGGATTTCAGAAGAGAGATATTGGAGAGAGAGAGCACTGAGGACTTTTTGTTGGTAGATGAAGTCATAAGTTTGGATGAAGTCACTCAGGGAAAGTGTACCGAGAAGGATGAGCAGAGAACCTAGTACTGATCTTTAAGCATCAATATTGAAGGTATGCTAAGAGGACAGAGCTGTACTGTTAAAAGATGTGGTCATACGGAGGTCAAGATAGAGTTTAGCAGCAGGGGGCAGAAAAGTGGCATGGGTTTAAAAAGCAGAGAAAAGGCGGGTAAGGGAAATGCTGGTTTCATCTGAAGGGGAAGGTTGGTGGGGTCTGTAGTAAAGTGATATTGTTTGGACAATGTTATTGTCCCTGAGGCCGCAAGATACCACACAAATCTCTCCGCTCCAAAATAGGCAATTTATTACTCCATCAACTTCTTACAATTTCCCAAGTACATACAATTTCTTCTCAAAATAATTTTATGGAATGAAGGCAAATGTTCACCGATTATGACTATGTCCCGTCAAGAAAAGATTTAACCCCCTCAGTCTCCCCTTTCTATTTTTGAGGCCTGAAAAGGTATCAGTTTTTGGGTTAAATGCATCAAAAACGGGGGGTGGGGGAGGCAAAATCTTGAGCTTTCTTTAAGGCAAGTACTACCTCCCCCACACCTTTTTTTTTGGTATAGAAACTCTCCTTCAGCTTCTTATGACCTACTTTTCACAGGTGTCTCCTCTTGCTACCCAAGGCCACCAAGACTTATTCTAATCCCCCAGATAAACCTGAGAAGAGTGCCTGAATGAGGCTACGTTTGTATGGGGCCCTGGCAAGGTTCATTTTGCTCTGGGTATGGAAAACAGAGCCCAGGGTAAGGCTCTTAGGTTCTGCTTTCTTTTCCTTTCCCCACACTGCTCCTCTTCACCCACTACTTCCACAGTTGCTTGTCTGGACTAAAACTTAGAAGGGTCGGTAGAAGGGAGGCCTAAACTTTTCTTGAAATGCTTCATTTTTTCTTTAAAAGCTGCAGCTCTGACAGATATCTATAGCTCTTGCTTTACCTTTTCTCACCTTCCCTGGGCACAGCCTTCCAGGGAATGAAGAGGCCGAGCCCCTGGAGTGAGAGTGGGAGAGCAGGCCTATGCTGCCTCGCCAGGGACTCTAAGCCTTCCTTACAAAGTTAGGCAGATACAAGGGAGGAAGAGCAATGACTGACTCCTTTGGGGTTTCCCTAAAGGCCTCTACTTTTTAAAAAGAGAGCTGCCTTTCTTGGGCCACTTGGACTTCATAAACTTGCCAGAAGTGATGAGGGGCCCAAAGCCCTGTTTGTGGGAGAATGCATAGGCAGAACGTCGAGAGCCTGCATGTTTCCGTTTCCCCAGGACTGGGAGTGATGGTGGATGTCTTATGCGATGAATTCTGTCAATAACCTATAGCCAGAGCATAGGGGACAGGGTTTTATTCACAGAGGCAGAGGCAAAGAGGGTCATGAGTCACACATATCCAGGTAGATTCCCTGTTTTACTCACCTTATCCACACTGAAGGGCCATAACAACGGTTTGAGAAACTTGTACCCAACGGCAGGCAACATGCAGAGGACCATGCTGAGGACAATACTGAGCCACAGTTGTGGCATGATCAGAGTGTTCCTTGCCACACCTGTAATCAATGAGCCAGGAGGGGAAAGGCTAAACCAAAGCCTAGAGGAAGGGGGCTGTCCGCCAGAACTTGGGTACCTCTGCAGTCCAAAGAAGGAAGTATTGATTTGGAGACAGTTTAATCTCTTGAGGAATGATATAAATGCAAAAGAATTGCAGTGAGGTCCTTTATAGAGCCAGAGTCACTGTGAATTCACATGTCTTTGTCTCCCTCTAAAGGCCTGGAAAGGCAGGAGAGGTGGGGGGTAGGCTTGGAGCCTTGGCTTGGACACAAATGGGAGAGAGGACTTTGGAAGGGAAAAAAATGAATGGCTGGGTGAGAGGTACATCTACAAACTTACTCTCTCTGTATTTTATCCTCATTGGAGTGGAGATGAGAGATAGGGAAATTAATATGGGAGACAATAAGCAGTACCCCCCAGAGGAAAGAATATTGGATGGGGATCCGGGAGACCTAGATTTGAGCCACTTAAAATGGTATTAATAATTCTTGCCCTGACTACCACAAAGGTTCCTTGTAAAGATCTAATTAGGTTAGAAATTTGAAAATATCTTAAAACCATATAAGGTAAAATATTTTCCCTCGCTAGATTTTGAGTCCTTTTAGGGCAGAGACTATGCCCTGTTCCTATTTATGTCCACAGAACCTAGCACATAATAATAGCTTCTTAGTAAACATTTATTAAGCAACTATATTGGTTCACACTCCCCACTCTTCTTCCCACCCCCTTGCCACACACTGGGCAGAGCCTTACCTAGGAATTGGAAGACATTGGGGAACATTAGGCACAAGCCATCACTGTACAGGAAGAATGAGATGCAAAAGTAGAAACCTAGGCTACCCCAGGTGAAGAAGTGGTTTATCATCGTCCAGTAGGTTGTCTCCAGGGCAACCTGAAAAACATCCTTTTACATGCAATATTCTATAAGCCACCTCCCTTTTCCAGTTGTGTAATGAAGGATTCTCCCTTCCCCACTTTCCCTCCTTCCTTTCTTTCCTCCCTCTCTTCCAGGCAGTCTCCCCATCCAATCTCCTTACCCCACCTCCCCACCCACTGTCCACACCTGCATTGTGACCACCCAAAGCAAGGAGGTCTGCACTATCAGGGAGAAGGACTGGTAGTCAGAGATTTCCTTCCCATCCCTGCGCACTGAGTTGCAAATGGTCCCCATGGAAATAGAGAACAGCACAAAGGAACTGTAGATCCCATGAAGCAAACACTTCATAAATTCCTTCTTGTTGAAATAGAGGTTGTCCTGGCCTGGCTCGTACAGCTCTGGGAAGCATAGGCTCCATGTTTCATTCACATCCTGGAGGCACCAGAGGATAGGGAGGAAGGCTCAGGAAGGTGCTGTCTCCATCGAGCAGAAGCTTCCCCCCACACTCAGTCTGCTGCCAGGCTACCTAGGAACTTCCTCATGGATTACTGAAGAAGTGGAGCCAGAGAACAGAGCAATGACCAGAGACACTTCCTGAAGTCTACTCTCTAGGCAAGGATCTAGGTAGTGGAAGAAAGCTAGGAGAAGCTCAAGATGGTGGGAAGGACCTAGAGGCAGTTAGGATTGGGGTAGCTGGAAGGGAGGACTGGTTCTTGGGGTGAGGGAGGCAGTTGGGATATGAGTCCCCAGTTTGTGTTCCTTTAGTTGAATATTCAAAAGCCAATGGGAAGAGAGGGGGAAGCCAATGGGAACCAGTGAGTCCCTTGGAGGTATCCATGTTCTGTGATGCTCCTCCCATTCCCGTAGCTACTGGTGAACTCAGGAAAAAGGATTCATTATGTGGATGACATTGGATCATCCTCATCTCTTAAATCTGGATAACAAAGCTTGGGGCTTGTTTTGAGGTTGTGGACCCCTAGAATTAGACCACTGAAGCTTGTTAGGACAGTTGAGTGACACAATTCATCCCTCTTGCTGCTCTGAGGCTGGCAGCTACTTCATGGAGAATTTTCCTTTCTACCCTGATGGAGATCAGGAACTATGATCCCATGATGTCCTCTTTCAGCTACTTTATTCCTTTTTGGAGACTCCTGTCCCCTTCCCTGTGCCCAGGACTGGAGGTAGCAGTAGAAGAGGAAGGAGAGGCAGGGTATAAGGACCCCCAATGCCCAGGAAACTGCTGACATGGACAGATAGCTCCCTTAGGCTGACTCCATATAACTCAAAGGTATCATACCCATACTCCTATGCTTGGCCTTCAAGTACCCTCACCTAGGTCTCCCTGCACTGGTGTGTCTCCTCATCTCTGTGTGGTCTCTCTTCTCTCAGAGCCCCTTGCTTTACTTAGTCCTGACCCAATGACTCTATTTCCTTTCACTACTTTGTACACATTCAATTTACTGTACAGCACAATTTCCATGTTTCTCTTTACAAAGATAAAATGGATGCAAGAAAACTTGGATTTCTAAGACTGAACATTATTCTGTGTAGAGGGGGATTCTTTACTTTATCCCACGATACCTCTCCAGGTGATGGGCTCCCTTCCTTGCTCTAGAAATAATTCCATTTACCCTTGACTTTGTAGAATCCAGCTCTTTCTGTCCTCCTTACTCTTGAGAATATTCCTCAAAGGCCCAAGGGCTTTCAACTCTGACTAAGAGGCTTGCTGCTAGTCTTACCTGGTCAAATAGACTCAAGGCCAGGATCGGGAGGGAGGTGTAGACCAGGTTGTAGAAAGTGATAAACCAGGTATCATAAACTGCCTGGAAGAAATCCAAGGAGATTTTTTAGATTCTGCTCTTCTCCAATGTCTCAGCTCCACCTCCCAGGTCCAAGAGAGCCCCATTTTCCCCCTACCCACCCACCACTATACTAACTTAGAACAGGGTTTGAATTTCAGAAATCCAAGGCTGACCCCGGTCTCTATTTGGTCCTATTCTATTTAAAACTCTGGCTACCAGGCCGAGGCAAGGCTATATCAAGCTTATTTGTGGCCAACCTCACAAAGTTGATGTGGACCAACCCTACCATGACCTGCACTGCCCCTCCCTGCATAGAATGCACCTAGAGTGGCTGCTAGGGAATGCTAGCTGAACCCCTGCTCTTCCGGGCCTGTAAGCCTCTGGGCTTTTTTCTTCTCTGCTTTATGGCATTCAGTAGCTTCTATAACACTGGACACTTTCTCACATTGGCAAGCAGAATAGACCTAATGACCCTTCCCTAGCTAGGTGCTCCATCCTGGGCCTAGAGAGGGCTCCTTTCCTCACTAGCCACAAGAGGTCAGCAGCAACACATACATACACACACCGACACCTCCCACAAACCGGGCCTGCTTTGTTAGGCGCTGCGCATATATCCAAGTCTACTACTGTCTGCTGACTGGTCAGTTTCTCCTGGAGCCTAAGGCAACAGAGGTAGTAGGGAACCTCCCAAGAGAATTCTTCCTGAGCTTGTTTCTCTTGGGAATCTTTAAAAGACACCTGAGAAACTTCTCATAGGGAAAGGGACTTCTTGTGGAACATGGAAATCCAGGTGTCAACTCTCCGCACTACTGTGGGGGAGAATTCATATTTCAGTGTGGAATTAACTCATTAGAGCAGATCTAAGGGCACAAGAACAATAGACAGGGCTTGCTTAAAAACCTTTCACTAAAAAAGTTATAGGTCTAGGATGTGACGACCCACCATAACCTGCCCTGTTAGAAATTTATGATTTATTATAGTACTACTTTTTCTTTCTTTTTAAAAATAAATATTTATTTCTTTTTAGAGAGAGGGGAAAGGAGGGAGGATAAGGAGAAGGAGAGAAACATCAATGTGAGAGAGAAACATTGGTGGGCCACTTTCTTGTATATTCCCTGACCAGGGACCTAACCCACCACCCAGGCATATGTCCCAACCAGAAACTGAACTGATGACCTCTCACCTTGCAGGACAACACCCAACCAACTGAGCCACACCGGTCAGGGCTAGCACCCACCTTTCATCCCCGGAACATTAGCAGTCAGTTAGGCATGAGCAGAGTAGGAATGGATAGACCAGGTGCAGAGATGCCCTGGGGGGAGAGCGCCTGGTGCCTGGTAAGTGTGCTTTCCTGTCTCTCTCTTTCACCTAAGCTCCAAGGGCCCTTCTTTTGCCTCTGTAACTTGTTTCCTGAGCTCGATCCTTCTACCTCTGTGACTTTCTAAATTTTCTAAATCAACTTTCTCTTATAGTTTAAAAAAAAATTTCATTAGAGCAACAATAGTGTTTTTTTTGGGGGGGATGTAAAGGTGGGGAAGGAGAAATAAAGGGAAGTTGTGTTTCCAAGTATGGCTATGGATGAACACCCTAATCAGCCTATCTGGCAAGACCCAGAGACCCCCTTAGGCTTAGCCTGTTCCATAAAGACCACTTTAGATCATTTAAAAAGTAGAAAGAAAGAAAATCTCCCAGATTGAGGAATTTCCCCCATTACATATGTTTGGAATCTCTAGGTCTCTGTGTCAGGGAAAATGTGAAAATATCTTATGGGAGAGTCTGAAGGTAGGAGTCAAGGCCAAGCCAGAGCCAAGCCAGAGCCAAGCCAGGTGAGTTAGGGTTTGGAAATCTAAGGTTAAGTGTAGGTTTAGGAGACGGGACAAGCCTACGTGAGGAGCTTTACAAATGGATGGCAGCATGTCATAAATTTGGTCTCTACAGGAGAAAAAGAATCTCAGCTGGCTCAAGTAGGGGTGACTAGAGAAGACCCAGCTGACCAAAGTAGGAAATGCCATCTGACCTCCTACCTGTGCAGAGAACCCGTTGTAGAAGGAATACCAGAAGTGCACGAGAGTGAAGACAAAGTTTTTGTAAAAGAAGTAGCTGAGAAACTTGCACATGCGATTGTAAGACCAGCGGCCATGGACCAAGAGTAGACGCTGAAGATAGTGGAACTGAGAGAAGGAGAAGTCACTGTTGAGCACGGCCTGCGCTCCCTCCTGGCCGCTGATGCCGACCCCAATGTGGGCAGCTGAAAAAGAAACCCAGAAGCTTCTCAGCCACAGATCTTGTTTGCTGGGCTCCTAGTCTGAAAAAAATGTAAAAGGCAGGCTGAAGTCATGTACAAATCTGTTATTTTACATTTACAGTATTTTACACTGTTCAGCCCAGCTCAAAATGGCACTGACTTAGTGGAGCCTTTTCTCCTGGATGGATTGCTCCTCCCCCGCAAGTTAGTAAACAGCTCCTTCATCTGCACTTTGTTTTGGATGCTGCTGCTCAAAAATGCCTGGTATGTCTAGTTCTAGAAAGCTGTCCTGGATGGTTTTTGCACCTACTATCACCATCTGGGCTCTGTCCTACTGTCCAGATGCTGAGGTAAAAATTTCTTGATATCTCTTGAAGCCACTCAAACCAATACAAACGCAGGATGAATGTCAAACACAATATTTAATTACCTAAGTTTATCTAGGAGCTAAAATCCAACTGCTGGGAGGAATAAGTGATGTACATACTTTGTTAGTGTTCTTCAGGAGGCCTAAGGGGACTTTTTTTTTTTTTTTCCTGGATAAAGCAAGGATTATAATTGATGGATGGTAAGACTGAAGTTTCTAAAACTTTTAATTAGTCTGTTATTGTGTAGGCCAAATTCATTGATTTTCTGGCACATAGCTATTGCATTGCTTAATGGAATAATTGAAATCTTTAAAGCCCTAAAAACCAGAGATGTTCTAGAAACCGGGGAAGAGAGAAAGAACACTTCTTAGTATTGAGGTAGAATATCTGCTAGTGCTTTCTGCAGAGAGAGAGGCTGGACTGGAGGACCTCTAAGATGTCATATCAATTGCTGAAGGCTAACAACATTCATCTGAAATTAAAACCAGTTTCAGCCATTTGATTCTATTGGTCTGAAGCATCAATAAGTCTGCTATTCTCCTCCAGCCAGAAGAGTTGGGGCAAGCTCTCCAGAACAGTTCCTTAAGGAGGAAGAAATCCCTGCATTGGGTCTTACAGCTAATTTCCTGGTTGGGTGGCCCTGTCTTCAGCCTAACTTTGCTCAGGCCCACAGCCTTCAAAAAGGAAAACAGATTATGACTGCTGCCCAGGGGTCGGTCCTTTCTGTGGGCTTTGATGCCATCTCAGAAAGATGTGTTCATGGGTTCTTGTGGGAGCTATGTGTATCTGTATGTGTATGAGTGTTAAATGAACAAATCTAAATGTATGTGCATAATTGTGGATATGAGTTGATGTATGCATGTGTAAAAAATGGGAATGCGGGCATAGAGGAGCATGAATGAGGACGCAGGAGTATGAGCCGGTAACACAGCGCCACCCAGATCAATGTTGTCCGTAGGGGAAAGAAAGGCAAGCCCATGCCTAGCGGCTACAGCCCTCCCCCCAACCACTCACTTGCCTTTGATCATGCTGACGTCATTGGCCCCATCCCCGATGGCCAGTGTCACCCACTTTGTGTACCTCTTCACCAGCTCTACCACCTGGGCCTTCTGAAGGGGTGTCATCCGGCAGAAGATCACCCCCTTGCACATGCATGCTGTTCGCAGCAGTTCCAACTCCAGGTTCCCTTCTAGAGCATAGGCCTGCAGCACCAGGACACACCCACATTTCAGGTCGACCTTCCTAGGCCCTTCCCCACCCCTCCATACTCTCCTGTACTACAGAGGTCAGACATAGCTGTTCCCAAGGTGCTTCATTCCCAAGGGAGGCCAAGCTCCCACGTCAGTTCTAAGCATCATCACATCTGATCCAGCCTCCAGCGCGAACTTATCAGGGCAGCTCGCTGGGTCTAATTAGTTGACTGGGCTATAAGGCCAAATTTCTTTTCTGAAGACCTGCTCCTGCTCACTGCCCCTTTTTCCCTAAGTTACAGGCCACATCAGTAATGAAGAATTTGGAGAAGGAAGGAATATGCCCTTGGCTTCTCTTTACTTGTTATTTCTGCCTAGAGAAAACTCTGGAAAGGTGTTTGTCAGGCAAGAGCACCAGAAAGAAGGGGGAAAAGGGTGACACATGGGTCTTGAAATTTCCCTGAAGTGGGCTGGACCTAGGAAAAAAGTTCCTTGGAAGAAGAGAACAGATTTGTAGCTCTGTGTTGCCCACCAGACTGTAGCCATTGATGATCAAGCCATAGTTGCCACTGGGCACCTCCTCGGGTATCCTGACAGGCATTTTGGGCTTCGTAGAGAGGTCATTGTTTATTGGGTCCGATTCCAGTAGAGGCTCAGATTTCATCTTATTAAGGGCTGACCTGAAAGCCAAGAGTAGTGATTAGCGTCTGACCTGAAGCCCCAGAACTTACAGGGAAAATGTGCCACAGAGTGAAAATGGGCAAGGCAGATATAGAGCCTCCTCAAAGCATCAGTTGGGGCCTCGGGCTTGTCTGCCTCCTGAGACCTGCCATGGCCTTAGGTCCCTGACCATCCACATACCACACTTCTCCATCTCCCTACCCCCTATTCCAATCTCTTGAGCCCTAATGCTTCTTCACAAAATTCTCTCAACTACTTTAGGTGTTTTTGGTTCACCCCTCCTCCTTTTCTTCTCCATTCCTTCTGGCAATGTGGGGCCACATTGGGTGAAGAGGTGGGTGGGAAATCTTGTGTCCAGGGATGGGTTGTGGCAGCTGTCGCATCTGTACCTGAGCTCTTGCTGAATGGTTTCATTATCCCTGCCTTCCACGAAAAACAGCCCATCCATTTCATCCCCAAATATGCCACAGGCATAGGCAATGTTCACAGCAGTCTCTGCAGGGAAGGGGGAACACAGGTTGCATTTTGGCCAGAACAAGGTGTTCTCACAGTATACAACTACATAGACTCTAACAGTGGGCTGCAGCGCCCATTGGTCCACATTTGTCATGGATGCAAAATGTATTTTTCATGAATCTGTGGAGACTATATTCAAGCATTCACAGGGCACTGTCTATTTGGTACCGGCTTGCAATTTATTTATCTTTTTTAAAAAAAATTTATTTTTAGAGAGAGGAGAAGGGAAGGAGGAAGAGAGGGAGAGAAACATCAATGTGTGGTTGCCTCTCATGTGCCCCCCTCACTGGGGACCTGGCCTGCAACCCAGGCATGTGCCCTGACTGGGAATTGAACTAGTTACCCTTTGGTTTGCAGGCTGGTACTCAATGCACTAAAACACATCAGCCAGGGCAGCAAGTTATTTATCAATAATTAGGATCATTCTGGCTTAGCTTTCTCTACAAAACCTTCTGTTTCTTAAAGCAATTCTAGTTTGTGTCCACTTCTCCAGGCAATCAGGATGTATTTTCTTGAACAGAATTGTACACATTTCTATGCTAGATTTTATGGGAAACTGAGATATATTTAGGTTATAGTCTTTACATCACAAGCCTGAATTTCAGAATGAATTCATACTAAAGGAAAAAAGTAAAAAAATAAAAATAAAAGTATGAACCTTGGCTGCAAGTGGTATTAATATTCAGAGGAGAGCTGCAATTGTCATAAAACCTTTTTTTGGAGAAAGGCCTTGAGGATGAGTAAGACTTGCTTAGAGGAAGAAAACATTTCAAATGGGGAAACAACCCAGAGGCCCCAGAGTAGGAACTGGTTTGCTTTGGGACACACTGAAGATAATGGTCACATTAGGATGGAGATAAGGATGTGTAGGCAGCAACAGGCTATCAAGGTCTTGAAGGCCAGACAGTGGAGTCCAACTACCTACCACATAGAGTTGCTGTAGGTACCTGAGCAGAGGAGTAACATCATAAAAGTAGAAAGTTTTAGAAAGATTAAACTGGAGGTTGTTTGTAGGTTATACTGAAGTTAATAAGGGCAAGGGACAGAGATAATTTCAGAAGTTTTTGCAAAAGTTCAGCCAACACGGGACAAAGGCTGAACTAGGGTGGTAACACAGTCAGGAGGCTCTTTCAGAGGAATTGATGGGGCATGGTGAGAGAACGAATCTTTGGGACAATGGCGAGGGTATAGTCAAGGACAACTCTAAAATTTTTAGCTTTTAAGCTCCTGGATGGCAGGTATCTGTGTCTTCAATGTCTAATACAGCATCTGTCATTATGTATTTAGTTAGAAAATTGTATATAAGACTGGGAAAGGAGCTGTCCCATAAGGACTCAGCCTGGATTATAAGGTATTTTTCAAATAAATGGATAAGAAAAAAAAAAAGGAAAACGAAGAAATGGCGAAAGTGGTTAGGGAAGAGGATCCGTCAGGTGAGGTACTCCCCTTTACCTTGCTTATCTCCAGTTAAAACCCATATTTTAATTTTGGCTTTGTTCAGCATTTTGATCGTCTGAGGTACTCCATCCTGCAGCTTATCTTCTATGGCTGTGGCCCCTAACAGCTTCGAACAGAGATATCAATGAGTGAGGAAAAAGGAGAGTCACGGCATTTAGTGCAACCCAGCAATTCAACTGGCACCTCAGCATCCTCCTTAGTAAGCTGGCCCTGTCTTGGCATGAGGACACCAGTGATAGAAAACTCAGCACACTCTACCTTTCCACAGATGCAGCTTTCAACCACATGCTGAAGTCAAGCTTGGAAATGCAGACTCTTAGGGACCAAAGAGGGAAGAGACTTGCCCAAGTATATATGATGCTGTGTCCCACTTCTAAGCCATCTGTTTCTCTCAACACACCTTCACTTCTGCTTTGCTTCATGGCATGCTTCCTGGTTTTAGTCTCCAAAAGCAGTGGGTTCCAGACAAGGGATCCCCTATATCCCATTCTAGTTTTTCTTTCAGTCCCACAAGAGCTTGGGTGAACTTCTTTTGTTTGTACCTACTATGGTCCCCTAAGGTTTTCAAGGCCTTTTCCCATGAAAAGGGAGATAACTAGATTAAAAGCATCTCGGTCCAACAGCATGCCTCCTCTCTGCGACACCCCAACAGAGCTGACCACAGGGATGGGCACCAGGACTGAGTCTGAGGAACTGAGAAACTACTGATTTCTGCTAGGCCTCTAGAAGGACAGTCTAGAAATACTAACCACAGAGCTGACTATGGAAGGAGATTTGTGAGCTTTGGGATCTCTGAATTTTCCCATTTGGTGTCAGTAATTTCTCTTTTTCATAGCAGAGCCAGCCTGTATTAGTCTGGTCACAAACTTTGGGCTCATCCTTAACTTCCCCTTTTCTCATATCTTATAATCTAATCCATCAGCAAATTCTGTTGACTCTACCTTTAAAACATGTACAGAATTTGACCATTCCTCATAACTTCCACCACTTCTAGCTGGTTCAAGCCATTATCATCTCACAACTGTCCTACTGTATCTACCTTCTAATTGGTCTCCCTGGGTCTGTGCTTGCTCTTCTACAGCATAAACTCAACATGGCAGCCAGAAAGACCGGCTGAACTCTTCAATAGTTTTCCACATCTCACTATAAGTTCTTATGTTGGCCTATCAGGACACTCTATTACTTCTCTGTCTCATGTCCTTTAATTCTTTCCTCCTTACTTCCACTGTATCACCCACCGTAGCTGCCTTGCTGTTCACTTAACAAGTTAGGCCTGCTCCTGTTTCAGGGCCTTTGTTTTTGCCATTCCTTCTGTCAAGCTAATCCCCCAGAGACCTGCTTGGCTTGCCACCTTCATGAGGTCTCTGCTCAAATGTCTCCTTCATAGTGAAGACTAAGCTACTATGCTTTGCTCTCTTCAAAACACACACTCATATGCTGATACTCCCTAGGTCTCTTCCTGGTTTTATCTTCTCCCATTGTACTTTCACCATCTAATATACTATGTATGTTATTTTTTAGCCTGTTTTGTCTACTGCTGTGTGCTAAGGACTTAAAACAGTGACTGGCATGTAGAAGACCCTTAATAAATATGTGAAATGAATGAGTGAATATTTTTATCTTGAGCATTCCATCAATTAATTCTGGATTATCTAATCTGTACATTATTCAGGTCCTAATTTCTCCCAGATTACTTAGTTTCTGTGAGCAGCTTTGGGATAAGAAATACTGCCAGAAAGATGAAATGTATAACCAGTGGATTTTTCATTATTTATGGATCTCAAAGATCCAGGATATCCTGTATCACCTTGGGTTCCGGTATGCAGTATCCAGAGAGAGTCTGATCTCCTGATTTGCTGGAAGCCACTCTCAGAGCCCTTGCTCAGTCTGCTGACTGCCGTCCCCCATTGTGCCCCCAGGCTGTCCCTGGCTTTCTCACACTAACCATCAAGTCTTTTTCGATCTCTTCATAGACAGCTGATATTTTATTTTCCCGATTCACCAAAGACAAGCAGGCTTCGCTATGTTTCTTGCTCCAGTCACGGAAGAATGAATCGTCCAGTTCTCGATAGGCCACAATGAGGGTGCGAAGGCCTTCACAGGCAAATTCCTGAAAGACGTGTGTACACTGAGTGGGCCTGGGCTGAATTAGGGCCAAGTTAAGAGAGTGGCAGACTGACCCCATAGGTCCTGCCTGCCTGCAAAATAGGGTTTAATGGTTAGCCTCATCAGAAAACAACTGTTGAACTTAGCAAAATGTCCTATGGATTGGGCCAGCATGGCTGGGGGTAAAGTTTGAGAATACTTCTGACAGATAGAAGGTTTTATCTTCTACCTGTAGTTAGGTAATTTGCTGTGTGACTCTGGGAATAACCGAGCCTTCTAGATTTCTTTCTTGTAAAACTGGGATAATTCACCTTCTACAGAGAGGATAATGATGTCTATAATGTGAGAACAAAGGGAGCAATGAAGTAAAAAGAAAAGAAAAAAAAAGGAATTGGTATAAAAAATAATCAAAGGTATCACTATTTTTTACAAGCATACATTCATTTTATTTTCCTCTGTCTCTGCCTTTCTTCTCAAGTATTCAATGGGCATCTCAAGTGGCACACATATTGTGTATTTGTGCATAGCTGGTTGGCTCAGCAGTGTTAGTGAGGCCACTGCTGAAACGTTCTCTGGGTGAGCTAGCATCTTTTTGTGCCTTGGCCACCAAGAAATATCCTAATCATAGCTAGCTATCTTGCAGAAGTATCCTCTCGGTCACAAGGAGGGCTAGGCGACAGTATCAGTGGTTTAGTGCAGAACTCAAATCCAACTGAGGGTGGGTTAGACACAGATTTTGGTATTGAGGATTACACATGGGTAACAGTTCCACAGGACCACTGTTACAGTGAGCTTCAACAAGATTCACATTGGCACTGCAAGAACAAAGAGAAATAGAATTTATCATCTTAATATTTTGCTCTTAGTTCCCTGTGCACCCCCTGAGTGTCTGATGTTAGCTGTCGGGTGAAATCAACATAAGGAAGTATATGTAGGGAGTGCCATACAGCTAACATCAGACACTCAGAAGTTACATAGGGAAACCTTTGTACTGTTGGCAGGTGAAGCTATGAAACAGAAGCCTGAGAGACCTTAGAGACATCTTAAGAAGGGAACCTTATGGCAGAAACTGATTTTGCATAGGATACTGATAACTGGAGTTGGCAAGCATAACAATACACTGACACATTCTTAATCCTTCAAGAAATAATTTAGCAGCCTATGTTGACAGTATTTCTTACTTATCCCTTCTGTTTTTCTTTTCTCTTCTGGTTGGCAAACTAGGACCCTGGGGCCAAATCCTGACTGCCACTTGTTTTTGGATGGCCTGTTTGCTGATCCCTGTTCTAGATGTCCTGGAGCCATGTAATAGTGGGTTTTTGGAGCTTGACTCCTAGGTTTATCATCAGTGGTTAGCTGAAGTATAGTCAGGCTCCACTATGGGTTTCTACTAAGGTTGGTAGTAGGAAGCAGGTTGATAGATCTGAAACAGTTTTGTGACCTCTGAAGCCAGTCTGTGGAAATACTCTCTGAGAAGAGAATCTAATTCATGTGTTCTGGAAAATTAAGAGATAAGAGTTTTCAGACTAGCTCATAAAAAATTCTGTGGCCTCTGGGAAGACTTAAGAGCCATCCTGTGTAGGACACAACCAACTTTTAAAAACACTTGAGATACAATGTTGATACCACAAAATTCAGCCTTTTAAAGTATACAATTCAGTGTTGCTGTTTTTTTTCTAAATTTACTCATGTTGTGTAACCATCATTACTATCTAATTCCAGAACATCTTCATCACCCCCCAAAAGAAACCTCATACCCATTAAGCAGTCATTTCCATTCCCTTTCCCCAACCATTAATTTACCTTCTGTTTCTACAGATTTGCCTACTCCAGACATTTAATATAAATGAAATCATACATGTGGCCTTTTGTGACTGGCTTCTTTCACTTAGCCCAGTGTTTTCAAGGTTCATCCACCTTGTAGCATGTGTCCGTACATTAGCCCTTTTTGTGACTGAATAGTCCATTGTATGGATATACCACATTTTATTTATCTCTTCATCCATTGATGGGTATTTGGGTTGTTTCTACTTCTTTTGCTATTGTGAATAGTGGTGCTGTGAACATTCAAGTACAAGTTTCTGCGTGGATGAATATTTTCATTTCTTTTGGGAACATGCCTAGAAGTAGAATTGCTGCGCCATATGATAACTGTATGCCTAAATTTTTCAGGAACTGCTAGACTATTTTCCAAAATGGCTCCATCATTTTACGTTCCCATGAGCAATATAAGGTTAAGATTTTTCTATATCCTCACCAATACTTACTACTGTCTGGTCACCTTTGCTATTTTAGCTATACTAGTGATTTGTAGTAGTATCTATGGTTTTTATTTGCATTTCTCTGATGGCTAATGACACTAAACATCTTTCATGTGCTTATTAGCCATTTGTTCCTTGATTTCTGACTATGTGTTAATATAGAGTCAAGCTAAAATGGCCTAATAGCATTTTCCCTAGTCAATTTTCTCTTTAAAATATTTTCCTGATCTGTCCTTTCCTCATCGTATTGTCTGTCCTATGTCCCCAACGCTCTATATATCCAGATATAAGGGTAGAAACCCCAGAGAATATGGATCTGGTTTTCCTTTCTAGTGCCAGCAGACTGGAGCCACTCTCTCTTTCTGATATATCTCAAATCCCAGATGGTGGAAGTGGCATGGGGTAGGCAGTGGGGAGGAACCCGTGGGGATTCTAATTCTGAAGATAACAGATAACAGTCCCCTAAACAGCTCAGGCCTAGTGCTTTCTGCTCCATACCCTAAACATGATCTGTTCTCATCATGGCTGGTGGGGTCGGGGCCTCCCATACCAGCAGGTCCTATTCTGAAGCAAATTCTAGATCTGACCATGGGACGTCCAGAGCAAGGAATTGAAGAGAGAACTATTCTGATTGTGCTGAGTGCTACCACGACACAATCCTTGTCGTGCCCCTGGGATCCTGTGCCGTCTAACTGTTTGACAATGTAGTCAATGAGAATCCTATAAAATAAGGTCATTTTTATTCTTCCATCAATTAAAGAGACACAGACACCAAATCCCATATGGAAACACACTGATAAAGGAACACATGTGGACACGTATCCAGATACACAGAACCACCCACAGCTTCCCTCCCCCACAACATAAACACTTACATCTAAATGTTCCATGGTCACTTCTTGGAGGGATGTACAGGATGGGTGAAGCAGCTGATAAAGGATGGTGTCTGCTCCCTTGCAGAACAACATTACCCGATCTTCAGGTGTCCTCACTAAGGGTAAACAAATCAAGCACAGTAACCATATAGGCCCACTCTTACAAGAACTTGTTTGGGTCACTGTGAGATGGCAGGAGGCTGTTCCCATGATATTTGTTTCTGATATATTTGGGGGCTAAACACTCAGTGAGTGGCCATACAGGATAAGTGATATAGTAAAGAACGGTAAGCGTGAGAGAGGAGGACCTTATGGAACCAACTCTTCCATGGATTCCATATCACCTGTGGAAGACTCTGATGCAGAATCATTTAGCTTCTCAAGCCCAAGTTGCATAACAAGACCCATGCTTATTAAGGACCAAGGATGAAAAATTAATTGAGAAACTAATTGAGAAAAAGATAGTATAAATTTCTCCTATATTTCTGTCCCCATCTCTTTAAGTTAAGCCTTTATGCATTTATTCTCTGTTCTTAGCTTTAAGTGTTCTTACTTGCCACTACTCAGGAACACTAAAGAAGGGCTCTAGTATATGGTAGCGAGCTCCCACTTGTGTACACAAGATAATATAAAGATATGTGACAGAGAAAGTGGGAGTGGCTCTGTGTTTGTATTTGAGGCATAGTACCAATGAGAAGGCATATGGATGGCAGAAAACATTTGTGTGCAGAGTAAAGAGAAAGTCAATATGTAAAAGTATATAAAAGACAAATAAGGGGAGAGGATCTACTAGGAGGGGCACCCACCAATAACAGACATCCTCTTGCGCACATTGCTGAAGTCCAAAATAGCCAGCAGCTGGTAGACTTTGGTTTCCCCCATTTCGACTACCGTGATTGTCTCAGGAGTACGGGAACGCAACACAAAGCCAAAGTTCCTGGCAGCAGTGACCAGGGCACCTTCATCTGGGGACTGAGCCTGATACACCAGCTCACCTGGCAGGAGAGAATTGGGCAATCAGAGCCCACAGAGATGTGCAGCTGAGGTCCACTCAGAAGTGACGCTGTCTTCCAAATGGCTTAAATAATAATGGAACCCAAGAAGGGATATCTTCCTTCAAAAATTCCTCATAGTTTGGCCCTAAAAGGCCAAGTTGTATAGAACAAGTCAGTTTTTTTCCTTCCCCAAATTTTCAACTCATTTCACAGACCTGAGTTAGTATTACAGAGGAACATGGTACATGCAATATATACAGATGAACAAAACATAGGCAGTTACTTTCCAACTTCAGTGGGTAAAGATGGCCCAGGGGGCTTGTTAAAAAGCAGATTCCTTGGCCCTACCCAAGCTTACTGAATCCAGAATCACAAAATCTGGGAGGAGGGCCCAAGAAATAGAATTTATAACAAATATCCTGGGTGAGTCTCATGCAGGTGGTCCTGCATGAAGTGCTCTTGTATAAGGCTGGCCAATCTTTAATTAAATACCACTAAAAGATAATAATATTGATGTTTTAATAAACAATTTAAAATATATATGAATGAGTATTGTCCACTTTGAAACTCTCACCTTGGGAAGCTAAATGACTCACTTTGTTGAACCAGTCTTTCACTCTGATATTATTCAAGACATTTCTTGAGCTCCTCTATTAGAATACACCACAACCTGAGGTATATTTGGGATTATTTCTCTTTTGAAGGACAATTTAATTTTTAAAAAGTTATTCATGAGATACATCTATGGGACAATAAGACTATTTTCTAGAGTGTTTCCTACCTCGTTACTCAAGGTAGTAAACAAAGACATGTCCAAATATACTTCAAGTAATAGTAACTTGTTGGAATGTCAGGCCCAGAAGGACCTGTGGTGGGGAAGGAGCTCATGGGGTCAGGAACCGTGAAAGCTGGGTTCTTATCTCATCTCTGCCATTCGTAGTTATAGGATTTTAGGCAAGTCATTTAATCTCTTTTAGCTTCATTTTCCTTCAAAACTGGGATCATTTTTCTTTTCCTGCTTACTTAAGAGGGCTGTTGTGAAGATTGTGGGAGATAATATAAATGAAAGCCATTTCTAAAGCTAAAGTAATATACAAATATAAGGTGTTACTAATAGTCATATTATATAAACAGTACATTAACTTTAAATGATGTGATTTATTTGGTTGCCTAAATTATTGTTTGTTAAGAAGAAAGTCTTCCTAATTTATAATCAGTCATTTCTCATCATTTCTAAAAAAGGTTTGGATAAATAAATGGATGATATAGTTACACAGGTGGAGCAACAGTAGGTTTAGAGTTGTATAGAAAATAATACAATAATTAATACATAATAATACAAGAATGAACTTTGTGTTTTGTGTACTCACAACTGTAAGCCTACTGTTGCCCCACCCTGTATTTGGTTATTAAAGAAACTAGGATATGTTGGGATACCTTATTGTGAAGTAACAAAAGGACAACTCTATTCATCCTTCAGGAAGTCTTGCCAGAGACAGTGGGGCTGATCTTGAGGACAATTCAGACGGACTCTATGACAGAACATCACAGGGTCTCAAGATCAGAAGCTCCCTATATAGCACCAACTTTGACCCCTATCCAATGACTGGACCTTTTTAAGACAAAGAGGTTGCTTTCTACTTGAATATCTCCATCGACTAGGAGCTCATTACTTAATGACTATCCATTCCATTGCTGGGGAATACTTCCTATTAGAAAGTTCTTTCTTAGCTTAAGCCATTACAAATGATATCAAACCACCCCCACCTCCATGCAGCCTAGACTCTATGATACATTCTCAGTCCACAAGGCCTCAGGCCCCTCCTCACCTTCCACTTTCTCCTCTGACATCACAGTATGACACAACGAGAGTGCGAGGAAAAACAAGTGCACCCAGCGATCTCCCTTTTTCACTGCTTCCACCAAAGTCTTGTCATAAAATGAAAACTTAGGGTCAGCCAGTTTGTTGTAGGAGAAGCTGACCTCTTCTGTTTTCTGGAACACATAAACCGGAACAAACTTCTTAGCACAGTTTGACACTTGGTAAAAGTAAAAGGTCAATTTGGGAGCAATTTCTTAATGTGATAAGAACTCTCAGGAGGATGGGGACAGAAAAGCAAGATAAATGGAAGAGGCCCTGTGCTGCTTTTGAAGGCCTTTTTAGCTCTGACCTGGACCATCCATTCATTTGGGCCAGAAAAGATCCATCCCATAGGAGCCAAGCTGAGCACTGCTCGGCAGACCTTGCTTACTCCCTTTCTCCCACAGCTAGCCTGAATGGTCAATGGCTAGCTTCAGTATCTACTTTTTCAAGTCTCAAATCCATGATAATCAGACCTGAAGGTATGAAGGGGTGACTGCTCCCTATTAGTAAATGGTACCTGAGAAAAATCTTGTCTCTGGCTATCCTCTGCCTGATTCAGGGAGCTGGGACTCAAACTGAGTCCTGATATCACAGTGACATCAGGTCAGTGATATCACTGTTACACTATTCCTATTTAAGCCCACAAGGGGGCTAGAGAGGAATATTGCAAGACAGAGGCAAGGCTGCATTATAAAGAACCTTCAGTACACAGTGCTTGGTCCAGATTTCATTTTGAACCATTTTACTTAACCTGTCAGCATACCTCACTCTTTCCTCCCTGTAACCCACATGGTCCTTGACTTTGCCTCGATCTTTGGGCCTAAGATTTACTACCATTTTCCTGGCTATGACATAGATGTGATTCTCATTCTCCATTTCAGTTGGACCACTGGACCACCTTGGATAAACATTTTTTTTTTCTGGTTTAATTTGGCCCTGTGGTTCTCTTACCACAAATTCCCCAGGGTTCACCACCCGGGAATGTGATATTAACAGATTCCTCTAGCCCATACCAGAACTCTCAAGGACATTCCTCCAGTTCTTTGTAGTTGTGGTACTACTTGGGCTGACCCCCAATATGTCAAGTACAGACGCAATTGTCCTGCTGGTGTTATGTGGGGGTAAGGGAAGTTGGTAGTGAGCTATAGGGGTTCTTTTCTATATATCCCATATGGAAGGAGTTTTGTCATAGCATCGAGGAAATATGGTCAGGTCCAGAGCCAAGCCCTAGACCTGGCCAACCAGAGCTGTGAACTCTGAGAGGTTTGTGGGTTCAGTAATTTAAGATAAATCATTATATAGCACCCCCGGAGGCTTTTCTAGAATTGGGTTCTTGTACTGGAACTGGCACGGTCTTTAAAATGAGAAGCTGGTGAGTGATGAGCGATAAACTAAGAGGCAGGCATGAAGCTGACCCTGCATTAGCATCTGATATGCAATAGGGAGTCACAGCAAATTTTCTGCTGAAAGTGACATAATTGGATTTGTATCAGAGAAAGTCCTCTGGTGGCAGCATGGAGAATATGTTGAAACTCCCATGGGAGCAAGGAGGCCAGTTAGGAGGCTGAGGTGACACACCCAGCAGGAGAATGTGCACTGAGTCAGGACACCCAGCAGGAGATTCGCTGGCTGGTTAATGAGGGGAGAAAAGAGGGGCAGGAAGGTGTCGGGGAGCTCTATGATTTGAGGTTCCTGAAGATGTTTTTGACAGACTGGATTGGAGATAACTGAAAGGCATGCAGGTAGTAACTGAGGCAGGCATACACAGTTTTGAAGCTGAGTTGTGAGAAATGAGCTAGTTTCTAACCTTTCCTTCTAGACAAGTAATGTTTGAGAACACCAGGCCTGGCTGTGTACAGGGCTGTGTCAGGACTGGATTGGAGCTGCAGTACGGCGTGATCTAAGGGGCAGTATTCACGGACAACTCTGAAACTAAAAGCCAATTAAAAACCAGTTAAACAAGGTGAAAGCAAATACAGGTACCAGGAAAAAGAATGGAAACTGGGGATACAGATCATATGAGAGGAAGTATATTCAAAATGGAGGGTGGAGGTGGCAACTAAGGATACTCTTTGAGATGCTGTGACATAGCTATAGACAGCTTTTATATGACATCTTTAGCCTTGGCCATGGTTGGGGAGGGAGCTATCGAGGAGGCTTGGATATATGGATCTGGGGGACCTCAGTAAGTAGGTGGTAGTTAAAGCCATGTAAATACATGAGATTATACAGATAGAGAAGAGGTACAATTATAGAGCCCTAGGGAACATCAGCACCTATGGCCAAGGAGATGAGCAAAAGCAATCAGAGAGAGAGAGAGAGAGAGAGAGAGAGAGAGAGAGAGAGAAGACAGGAGTTATCTAGAAGCCAAGGCACAAGAAAGCTTTAGGAAAAAGTAGAGTTAAAGTGTTAAAATCTGCAGAGAAGTTGGGTAAGGACTTAATAACAGGTAGTCATTTAGTCACCTTGGCTAGGATAGTTTCAGTGGATGTGATAGGACAGAGTATGATTACATAGAGTAGGTTGAAAAATGAATTAAAGTTGAGGAGTAGGAGATTGCTGTAATTGCCTGTTTATATTACTCGTTCTGTAGTCTTCCAACTCTTTGAAGGTAGAGAACAAGTCTTGTGTCTTATTCAAACCTTTCACACTTACTCAGAGTCTGACATGTGGTTGATAATCAATATTTTTGAATGACTGATGGAGACAGATATTGCTAGAGGGTAATGCAAGATGAAGGAAAAGTTCTAAGTATTTTTAAAAATATGAATAAAAATAAAATATAAAAATTTATTAGTAGTGGTTACCTCTGTTTAATGGGCTAAGGGTTACTTTAAATCATTTATTTAAATTTAGATTAATTATTTCAATTTTTTTTAGAGCAGTCTTAGGTTTATAGAATAACTGATCAGAAAGTACAGAGTTCCCATGTACTTCCTCTCTTCTTTCTACTTCAAGTTTCTCCTATTAACATCTTACTTTAGTGTGGTATATTTGTTGCAATTGATGAACAAATATTGGTACATTATTATGAACTAAAGTCCATAGTTTACATTAGGGTTCACTCTGTGCATACAATTTTGTGGGTTTCGACAAATGCATAATGAAATGAATCTACCATAATGATATCACACAGAATAGCTTCACTGCCCTAAAATTCCCTGTGCTTGCTCCATTGTTTTATCCCTCTCTTCACCATTCCCCAAAATCCTAGCAACCACTGATCTTTCTACTATCTTTATAGTTTTGCCTTTTCCAGAATGTCACATAGGAATCATATAGTATGTAGCCTTTTCAGACTGGCTTCTTTCACTAAGTAATATGCATTTAAAGTTCTTTTCCTTCTTCTTCTTCTTCTTCTTTTTTTTTTTTTTTTTGTGGATTGATAGCCCCCTCCCCCAACTTTAAAAAAAATCCTTACCTGAAGATGTGTTCATTGATATGAGAGAGAGAGATATGGAGATGTAAGAGAGAAAAAAATTGATTGACTGCCTTCCATATGTACCCTGACCAGGGATTGAACCTGCATCCCAGGTAAGTGTCCTGGCCAGAAATCAAACATGCAACCTATTGATATATGAGATGATGCTCCAACCAACAGAGCCACCTGGCCAGGGAGACAGTTCATTTTTTATTGCTGAATGATATTCCATTGTATGGATGTAGGAAGCATTTGTTAAAGGGAGAAAAGGGTCAAGTGGAGTGGAAAGAATCATTAGGGAATAAGTTTCAGATATTAATAAAAAGGGAATACAAGATTGGGTGAGGTTCCTAAAGAAAAAGGAAGAGATAGAATCAGAATATATTAAGAGATTGGTATTAAGAGAAAAAGTGATACTTCTTTTTGGGACTGAAGGAAAAGAGGTAAAGGTAGGTTCTGATGTATGTATAGAAAAAGGTATTTAGCTGATAGTTTGGATTCTTCTCAGGAAAGTTGAAGGTGATGTCAACTGCTGCATATTGGGGATAGAAGAGGATGTGGTAGAAGGTCTGAAAGCAGTGAATTTTGGAATAGCTTAAATGGAGAATTGAGAATTAAGCTGATCATAAATAGGTAAAAATTATCCAGTGGCAACTAAGCCCGGGAGAGGTGGAGTCTCTGAATTTGTAATGGCTTGTGATCGCCACAAAGTGCTTGGCACTCTAGTTAGAAACAGAGAAGAGTAGATGATTTGAATAATTCAAGGTTGAGATCTGCTGGGTGATTAAAGGGGGGAAAGAGGACTACTAAGGTATTTAGAATGCTTATGGTTTTGAGTACAGATCAAGGCAAGAGAGGAAAGGAAGTAAAGTCACAAGGGATTGACAGACTGGAGGAAAAGGAGAGATGAGGGTTTTAAAATCTTCCTGAGATAAGAAGGCAGGCATCAGGCATACTAGGAGTCGGATACCAGGAGAGATGGAGGAATGAGGTTTGTGATTAGAGAACATGACAAGGGAGTTTACAATTACAGGGTAGCACAGTTCTGGATGGTGACATGGAAATAGTGGATACAGACTTTTTTGAGCGCAAGGAGTCAACTGGAAGGCATATTATTTCAGATATCTGAAAGGATCTGTGGTGATGGATCATCCATAAAGAAGCCAACACCACTCAAGATGATAGCAGGGATTACTAGAGAGACAAAAATATGTTTTCATAGTTTAAAATTCCTCAGTGAATGAGGCAAAGAAGCCAGAAGATTTGTAGGTGTCAATGACAAGAAGAGTACAGCCAGGAGTCATATGTATCACAGAAGAAAGATTATATGAGAGAGAAAAGAGGAGTGCTTTAAAAGTGGCACAGGGTAATGAAAAGCATACCTTTGAGCCTTTGGTGTGTGCAGTATAAGAGGTGGAGGGAAAGTCATGTTTCAATCAAGGCAGGGAGATGACAGTGTTTTTGTAAAGGTTTTATTTATTTATTTTCAGAAAGAGGGGAAGGAAGGGAGAAAGAGAAGGAGAGAAACATCGATGTGTGAGAGAAACATCAACCAGTTGCCTCTCGCACACCCCCAACTGGGGACCTGGCCCACAACCCAGATAAGTGCCCAGACTGGGAATTGAACCAGCAATCCTTCAGTTCGCAGGCCAGTGCTCAATCTACTGAGCCACACCAGCCAGGGCAAAAGTATTTTCTCGAAGAGATGAAGTTGTAGTTAAATTTGTTTACAAGAAACAAAGATGCCAATGATCAAGTGGAAAATGTGCTACAGTCAATCAGTACTGGAAGGAGGAGGAAGGAGAAAGGGTAATAGTTAACTCCGTAGAAGCCATAACTTTTGTTTATATAGCCAAGGTCATTAGCAGTCTTCCTGGAAGAAGATTTAAGACAAAACATTGATTTTTCTTTCCCCTTCCCAATCTCTTTGAATAGATATAGGGCAGCAATTTTCAACCTTTTCATTCCATGGCACACATAAACTAATCACTAAAATTCTGCAGCACACCAAAATTTATATTCTGGCCAATCTGACAAAAAATAGGTATAATTTTGATTGATTTACAAAAAAAAAAATAGTAATTACCTACCCTCTTTGCTCCAAAGGGACTTTTAAAATATCAGGTGACTACACTTGTATATAAGGATTTCTGGCACCAAGAATTAACCAATCAGATGCAACCTTATTATGTGGTGTGACCAGTAAGCTGCAACTCTATTTATATGACCTATATATTTATGGTTCAAGATGGGGCATTCACACTGGATGGCTATTACTGTGTTGGTTGTTGTCATTTTTTACTTTGAAATCTAAGGTTGCATGTTTTAAAAATCTTTGCAGCACAGCGGTTGAAAATCACTGATATAAGGGTGAGGCAGGAACTGGGAGCTTGAGTTGGCAGAGTGCTATATAAATCAAGTGGCCAATGGTTTTAAATTGGTTCCAGTAGGAAAGGGATAGATGAGGAGTGTCCACAACAGACGAAGCCCTATGAAGAGATACTTAAAATAATACCCATGAACAAAAGCTGAGATAGATCCAACACTGGAGAAGAGAGTAAAAATGACCAGCCACAGATAGAAAGAATAAATACCAAGATATTTTTACAATTGTGTAGGTTAGGACAATTATGTACTGAATCCTGAAGCTATAAAGAAAAAAGACCAATAGATTTGATTACATAAATTAAAAACTTTTACACAGAAAAAAATAATAAACTAAAGCCAAAGACAAAAATGGGAAAAATAATTGTAATGTGACAGGTAAAGGAAGAAGTTATTACTTTTACTATATAAAAAACACTTTTAAAGAAGGAAAAAATGGCAGAGACTATGAACAGGCAGTTCACAAAATAAATATAAATGGGTAATAAAGTGTTTGGGAAGGGGAAGGAAAATAAACACATAAAACTGATTCAAACAGATTAGTAATCAAAGAAAGGTAAATTAAATGAGATATCATTTTTCATTAATTAAATTTATAAAGATTAAAACATTGTTAATATCCAGTACTAACAAAGATGTGAGAAAAAAGGAATTCTCGTATATTTTTGGTGGGACTATACATTGATGCGATTTGGAGGGCAATATGGTAATATAATATTAAATGCATTAAAATTATGGCTACCCTTTGGCCAACCAATTTCAATTCTAAGACTTTATTCTAAGGAAATAATTATCAGAAGAGGAGAAAAAAAATGTTATGTACCAGGGTGCTTACCACAGGGTATTTATAAAAGTAAAAGAAAAATGGAATAAAAATAGGGCTTGGTTAAATTAAGGCATATCAATACAATTGGATACAACACTCATTCAAAATGGTGATGCAGATTTTAATTTGCTGATATGGAAAGAGGACCACAATATGATGTTAAGTGAATAAAAAGAGTCTGAAAATAGCATATAGTATGCTATGATTCTTTCCTCCCTCCCTGTCTTTCTTCTTATCTACCAAACAGTCATATCTAGATGTATATGCATGGGAATACATACATATGAAAAGCATATTTTACATTGGTTATCTAAACGGGATTGAATGATTTTAACTTTTTCTTCATATATTTCTTTACTGTTTGGATTTATTTTATAGTGAGCATAGATGATGATGATGATGATGATGATGATGATGATGATATCCTCACCTGAGGATATGTTTATTGATTTTAGAGAGAGAGGAAGTGCGGGAGAGAAACAAGTATGAGAAAGAAATATCAATTGGTTGCCTTCTGTACGCACCCCAACCAGGGATCAAACACACAGCCTAGGTATGTCCCTGACCTGAAATCGAATCTGCTAACTTTTGGTGCATGGGATGATGCGCCAGCCAACTAAGTCATGCAGCTAGGGCAGATTATATTTTAAACAGAAAAAACCCCCAATAAAGCTATTTTCATTTTAAAACACAAACCCAAATCTCCTCATTTATATAATGCTTTCTGATGCTATGGGGCCAATAAAACCTTTAATATTTTAGGGTCTAAGGGAGTTTCAACTTGTGTTAAAGATGCTGCTGTGCAGCACGGCCTCTCTCAGCTGCCACATGCATTCCACAGGGAGCTGTAACCACTCACCTCGGAGACATCCACCCTCTGTCCATTCTTGTCATAGACAGCACCTGTTGGTAAGTGAACAGAGCAGAGACTTGACAAGGGTTTTAAAGAAAGGTTTAACATTTTTTTGGTGGTAAAATATATATAACATAAAATTTGCCATTTTAATCATTTTTAGTGTACAATTAAGTGGCATTAATTACATTCACAATTTTGTGCAATAAGTATTATCTTTACAAAACTTTTCAGCACCCTAAACAGCATCCTAAACTCCATTGCTCCCTATTGCCAGCCCCTGGTAGCCTCTAATGTACGTTCTGCCTCTATAAATTTGCCTATTCAAGATATTGCATATAAATAGAATCATAGAATATTTCCTTTTGTGTCTGGTTTCTTTATTTTTTTACAGTATAAAATATTTCATATTTAGAATTAGCCAGCTGGACTCAGTTTTTGTTGGCAAAATTCAAAGCATCCTAGTCTGGAGCCAGTAGAACATATTCCTTCTTCTCCCCATCAGGCCTGATCAGGAGGTTGACTGGCCACGTCAATAGCATAGAGCTTTTTCACAGACTGTTCGATCTGGTGTTTGTTGGCCTTGACATCCACAATGAACAAAAGTGCATTCTTGTCTTCTATCTTCTTCATGGCTGACTCAGTGGTCAAGGGGAACTTGATGATAGCATAGTGGTCAAGCTTGTTTCTCCTGGGGGTGCTTTTCTGAGGATATTTAGGCTGCCTTCAGAGCCACAGCATCTTTGGCTGCTGGAAGGTGGGTGGTGTGTGGATCTTCTTCTTCTTCTTCTTCTTTTTTTTTGTGTGGCTGTGGACACCTTTTAGCATTGCTTTTTTTTGCCTTCAAAGCCTTGGTTTTGGCTTTGGCTTTGGCTTTGGGAGGGGCAGGGGCTTCCTCATTTTTTTTTTTTTTTTGCTTTGGGCTTCTTTCATTTAGCATAATGTTTTCAAGATCACCCATGGTGTAGCATGTGTCAGAACTTCATTACTTTTTATGACTGAATAATATTCCATTGTATGGATATACCACAATTTGTTTATCCATTCATCTGTTGATGTACAGATCACTGGGCTATTTGCACATTGTACTGCAATAAAGGCTAGCATATATCTATCATTTGAATTCTGTTTTCGATTTTTTTTGTATATACTTAGGAATGTAATTACTGGGTTATATGGTAACTTAAAGGAGGGTTTTTAAAAGCTTATTTCTTTTGATTCTATCATCCTATGTGTACACTCTGGCCACCTCGGCCTCAGTGCTACAGTAAGCTCCAGTCCCTAGCCAGTGGTAAGAAGAAGGTATCTGCTTGGGTCCTAACCCTTCCTTCAGTGTGAGTGAGGTGAGGCTGGAAGTTAGTCACTGGATCTACAAGAGACTTCATATCTCAGGAAGCCCTCTAATCAGAAAAGTTACCTAGAAGAGATATGAAAAATAGGGCTAGGATGTTTAAGATTCTAGACCAGTGGATAGCACAGACAGAATGGGGGTAAGAAGGCAGTCTGAGGCCAAGCACAGAAATACTAGTGACCCTTTTCAACCTTACCCAGTGTAGGGTAAGGTCTAACAATAAGCCAGAGAATAAGATTCTCACCCAAATCAATTCATCCAAAAATAAGCTTTCAGGGTTTATACATATGAAACTTTGTTTGGCAGGGGTAATAGGAAATACTGGAGTGCTCTGGCTTTTTTTTTCCAGTTAAAAATTTTAAATTATTTTTAAATTGAGATGAAATTCACAGGGGCATTCAGTGCATTAACAATGTTGCAGAGCTACTATATATCTCTAGTTTCAAAGCTTTTCCATCATCCCAGGAGAAGATCCCTCATGCTCTAGATTTTTAGATGTGAGCGCCTTCCTCTGCTAGTTAATGTTCCAGACATGAATGCTCACACACATTAGGACACTACCACAAAAACAAGCTTATGATCAAGGCATGAAATAAATGAGGAATTGGGCATGGGAGACGCTGAGCAAACTCTTGACTACACTTCCGTGGCTTTTCTCAAGACTGTTTATTGCTCTGAGGGAGAATCAGGAAATAAGCAGCTTCAGTAATATGCAGGCTGTTCTACCTGATTTAATATGAGAATGAATTGACGTTCCTAAGATGTTAGAAATTCCTTGAGGACAGAGATTAAGTTTGTATATCTTGGTAGGTCCAATGTCTAACACAATGGATTACAACTACAAGCTATTAAATAAATACTTTTTGAATAGAACTGAATGGACTAAGTGACCTTTGCTTAGTGAACAGAGAAGGCTATGAGAATAAGAGGTAAATGTGAATTTCAGAGGCATATAGAGTTAGAGCTTGATTAGTCTTGAGAACAATCTGCAAAGTAGTTCTCAGGACTCAGGAAAAGTAGGAAGACTTGCATACCATATAATGTCCCATTAATAGAACACTTGTTGAAAATCATGATGTTCTGAGTCAGCGTTCCTGTTTTGTCGGAGAACACATATTTGACCTGGCCAAGCTCCTCATTAAGGGTGGTGGTGCGAGCCTGTGCTGGTGTGTTCCTTAGGTCACAAAACATCTTCTGATCCCAGTTGATATAGCAACTGTTGCCCAATCTTATTATCTCAACACTAAGGAGAAAGCAAGAAAAGAAGGGTCCTGGGTCAGAGCAGGACAAACAAATACATTATCCTGGTTTCCTTACCGACTGATAGGTCAGGACTGGCATCTGAAAATCCTATCAGAGTCTCTTCCTTGGGAACTTACAATCAATCAGTCTTGGATCATAGGACCCTTGCCATCAGCCAACCCACTGTAATTCTGACTTTGACCATTCACTAAAAGCATTACCATCTGGATCCAGATATACTTGATTACTTTTGCTGGGGCATTTCCCCTTTCACTCTTTTTTTCTTCCTAAACATATCGCTGCAGATATGAGACTTCTCATAAATTTTGAACTTCTGCAGCGATGCAAGGCCTGACAGAATTAAGAACTAACTAATAAAAGGTTCCCTAGGCTTAATTAGACAATTATTGCTGCTATCATGTAAATCCATTGGTGGGGGAGAGAGAGAAACTTGAAAGGATCAGTGAAAATCAGAAACAGCTTACAGGAGCTGACCCTCTGATAAATTTCCGGGCAGAGACAGCATACCTGTGTGGTAGCTTCTCCCCCAAGAGCTTTTCTTCATTTTATCTGACTTTTTCGCCCTTGTTGCCTTCGTCACGTTCCTCTTCTGTTCCAAGTAATATGCCTTATAGATGCTTTATGGTTAACAAGCACCTTCATTTTAAAAGTGATGATTTTTAAGGAGAAAAAAAGTCTATCTATTATTTATCATTCATACTTAAGATGTGTTTATTTAGGTTGCTTCATTAGTAACCTCTGAGGCAGTTGCTTTGAGCAACATGGATTTTTCATTTGAGTTGAGGGAGGAGATGCTCAGGCCCACATTTTTGACTCTTCTTATTTGTTGTGCTCTCCTTTCTTTCACTATACCAGCAACAATAGCAATCTCTCTAAACAGAAACATTTAATCACATTATTTCTTCCCTTAGAAAGATCTTTGTTGCTTTTAGGATAAAATCCAAACTCCGTGGCTTTACATTTAAGGTTCTCCTGGATCTGATCCTAAACTACCATCTAACATCTTAGTCTAGATTACTCACTGTTCTATGTCCAGATAAAGCTTTAAAAATACCTCCAGACCTTTGCACATACTGATCTTTCTGCTTGCAATATTCTTTTCCTATTTTCTGCTTGGTGAACTCTACTTTTTTCTCAATTATGAGTTTATTACCTTTTTCTGTAAACACCTAAACCTTTCCAGGCAGAACTAATCCATCCTTTTCAAGGTTCCTATAGCATTTGTATATATATGAATATATATGTACATATAATATGTATATATTTACATATTTACATATTTATACATATGTATAAGTATATACATATGTATATATTTAATATGTATATATTAAATCTTTTATTATATTTCTATTACATATTTTACCATAATTATTTATTTAAGTATGTTTCCATGGCTATGTTGTAAGTGTATTTAGAGAAAGGGCTGTCTTATTCATGTTTCTTTCTCTAGTACCTAGTACAGTGCTTGCAACATAGTAAGTGCTCAACAAATATTTGCTAAATTTATGAGATAATTTAGTTATATAGGGTGATATTCAGATTGGAATGCTACAGTACAGGGTTTAGGAAACCTGGAAAGAAGGATGTGAAAGTGGGTTCGGGGTGTGTGTATGTGAGAAGGAATGCTGAAATAGATAAAGGATATCAGAGTAAAGACTTATTTTACTTAGTTCAATATTTGTCCAAGGTGCTCACGAAATGGCGGAAGGAAACATCTTTCTTCTTCTCTTCTCCAACTTTTAGGAATGAGAACTTAGGTACACTTACCATTTTCTACATTGTTTCTATGGGGAAATGCATTCTGAGTTCCAATGTAACAAATGAAAGTTTGGACTCTCATTGATAAGCTAGGGGCTGCCTGGCTTATGCTTTAGCATCATGAAATTTGTGTGTATTTTTTCTAATCATTTCATGTACTTGTATGTCTTTAGTCACTTACATTATAAGCTATTTGAGGGCAGGGACTATTTTCTTTTTGTGTAACTCATGTAGGATCTAACACAGTATTCTGGATATGGAAAACATTTATGCAATCTATAGATATTTCTCAGAGTGTTTTGTACACCAGGCACTGTGGAAAGTAGTAGGTTAAAGAGCACAGTCTATGCTTTCTAGAAGTTCACTCTGTAGTTGGGTAATTAATCATGAGTTATGAAGTCAGTTCCTCCACCTGTAACCCAAAGTACTCAAAGAAGCCTACCTGACATAGAGTGAAATAGGCACCATGGTGTTGAGAATAATGAAGTAAGACCAGAATATGAAGATGGCAGAGACAGCTGATGAAGAGACATATTCTTTCCGTGGCAGGAAATTCTGGAAGTAGTAGCCTTTCTTGCTCTCCCAAATGCCATGCCCAATTGCTAGGATAAAACACATGCTGCCTAAAAACAGAAAAATCTAGAAATGAAAAAAAAAAAGAATTAACATCCAAGGCATATGCTACTTCAGTTCTGCCTTTTGGAACCTTATCTCTCAAAGAGTTTCTTTCTCTTCTTGAAGGGTGAGGGGGCCTGGAGAAGCTGTAGTTTACAGACTTTATGCAGTAGCACACAGGACAGAAAAGAAAGCCCAGTGGGAGATATTCTTGTGATTTTAAAGGGATATGGTAATAACTAAAATATATTAAATATTAATTAACTGCCAAGAACTGTGCTAAGTACATTACATATATTATTTAATATTTATAATACCCCTCTCTTAATAATAGATGAGGAACTTGATATTAAGAGTGGAAAAGTAGTTTGCCTAAAGTCATTTAGCTACTAACTAGGAGGGACAGGTTTGAACCAGTTCTGGAACCTAACCTCTTAATCACTCCATTATTGAACTGAGGTGCTGCTTTAATAAAAACCTAAAATGTATGGCATTGGCTTAGCAATTGGGGATGGATGCGTGGTAAGAAACTGATATAAAAGGCTGAAAATATGGCAATCCTATTAACAGAAAAAGAATTTGGTAAAACTTGAAGATAGACCATGTGCCTACTGAGCCTATAGAGCTCTAAGAGAGGTGGTTAGAAAGAATTAAAATATTTGTGTTGACTGCCTTTGACAAGGTATTAAAAGAATGAGTTGAACTAGGAAAGTAATTAGCTAATCTATAAGCAGAAATGAAAAGGAATAGGGAGAAATTTGGGTTATCAAAGGACTGAAAAGCCTACTACTTTTAGAAACTAAAGAGAAAGAGATGAAATTAAGACCTGAAGCATACATGGCCCAATAATTCTTTCTTACTGAGTTTTGCCTGAAGGCAAAATTGAGATTAAAGATGATACCTTCTTACCCAAGATTATTGCTCCAGATGACTGCAATTTTCTTGCTATTAAATTGAGAGAGAAAGGCATGGAGGTGCAAGGAAGCAAAGAAATAAGACAAATTTGAGAACTATATTTAGAAAAAACTTTGGGTGAGAGGAGGTAATGCCCTGAAACTCCTTTTACAAGGCTGGCATTACCTTGGTACCAAACCCAGACAAGAAAAGAAAACTACAGGCTAATATTCATAATGAACATAGACACAAAATTTCTCAACAAAATAGTAGCAAACCAAATTCAACAGCACATTAAAAGAATCATACACCATGATCAAGTAGGATTTAGACATTAATGAAAGAAATGAAAGAAAACACAAATAAATGGAAAGATGTCCCATGTCCATGGATTGGAAGAGTTAACATTGTTAAAATGTCCACACGACCCAAAGCTATCTATTGAGTCAGGGCAAGCCCTATCAAGATTCCAATGGCATTTTTTACAGAAATAGAAATATAATCCTAAAATTTGTATGGGACCACAAACACCCAAAATAGCCAAAGCAATCTTGATGAAGAACAGGGCTGGATCCATTACAACCCCCTAATTTCAAACTATATTACAAAGCTATAGTAATCAAAACAGTAAGGTACTGTCATAAAAACAGCAATTCCAATTTTGGGTGTATATCCAAAGGTAATTACATCACTCTTTTCAAGAGATGTTTACACCCCCATGTTCACTGCAGCATTATTTACGCTAGCCAAAACATGCAAACAACCTTAGTGTCATTAAAAAATGTACAGATAAAGAAAATGTGGTGTTGGATATACATACAATGGAATGTTATTCAGCCATAAAAAAGGAAATTCTGCCCTTTGTGACAACATGAACAAACCTTAAGGGCATTATGCTAAGTGCAATAAGTCAGACAAAGACAAACATTGTATAATTTCACTTATATATGGAATCTAAAAAAATACAAATTCTTAAAAACAGAGAAGATTGGTGGTTTCCGGAGGTGAGGGTTTGTCAAGGGGGAATGCATGAGGTAGTCAAAGGGTACAAACAAACTTCTAGTTTTAAGTTTTGGGGACATAATATACAGTATTGTGACTATAGTTACCAATCACTGTATATTTGAAAGTTGCTAAGTGAGTGAACCTTAAAAGTTTTTACCACAAAAAATTATAACTTTGTAAGGTGATTGATGTGTTAATTAACCTTATTATGCTAATTAGTGTTGCTACAAACCCCACAGGTTATTTGTTTATTACCAGAGCCAGTTAGACCAAAGAAGAGCAGGCTGCCTCTCATTTAGCAAACAGTGGTTCCAGTCGAGGCTGATACTCAACTTTGTCACTCTTGACAAAAATGACCAAGAACTAAGGCCATCACTGTCACAGTGGGGCTCCCAGGCTTAATAGGCAGGCTGTAAAGAGAAAGTACTTCTTGTTTCTTTGGTTCATCACATCTGTGTTTTTCATTGTGCCTTATCCCAGAAGTATATCCTGGATTTCTGGCATCATTCCAATTTCAAGCACTCTGCTTCTTTGCCCCGCAAATACACTCCCAGTACTTAACAGCCCAGTGTTCAGATGGCATTGTCACTGTGAGCTTTGGTCAGAGGGGGAAGGGAGAAAATCAAACTCCAGTTCAGCTGTGGGCTCACCAGGAAGCTGCTTTGCTAAACATGCTTCTGGTGTCTGCCAGATGTTCCTCTAAGAAACATTTCCAAAAATAGGAAAAAGTGTTTAAATCAGGAAGGATTTCTGCTTCAACTTCAAGAAATGAGACTGCATTACATCTAACTACATTAACAATGTCCTTGGCAAAAATACCACATAAAATTGCTGAGCCGATAAGAACCTAGTTAAATCAAGAATGTTTCTTCATTTAATAACCATTCAAAGATATTTCCTGAGCACTACTTTATGCAAGGCACTTCCACAAATATAGAGATGGATATGATATAAGTTTTATCTTGGAGACTCGTTAATTTCGTAGCTCAGACATTCACTATTTCCAATAACTCAACAAATAATAACGAAGCCCCTGTTATGTGTCAGGCATAGTTCTAGGGATTGAGAATGGTGAAAAAAGACAATGTCCTTACTCTCAGAGAGTTTACAATCCTGTGGAGATAGGCGGGCAACAGACAAGTTAAGAAATGGAAAAATACAATTTAATTAGTGGTTAAGTGCTGTGAAAAGAATAGAAGAGGTTAATAAAGATCTTGGTGGGGGCAGCCACTTTATTTTATTTTTTATTCCATTAAAATTTATTTTTGGAGCTTATCATAAATGGGTAAATTCCAAAATAGTAGCAATACAGAATATTTAAAAACATTTTAATATTTCTGGCTACTCAATATTCCACCTTTGTTTTGCTTTCTTTAAACAAATATACTGGGTAAAAGCAATAATACTCTTAAACCGAAGTTCAATGATGAGTACTTTCAATTATCTATTTTGAGCACATAATAAAGCAGAGGCAATTAATTTTCTTGAGCATGTTATTTCCATTCAGAACTTAGCAATTACTTCAGCTTCACATTATTCTGTCATAAATGATATAACCAAATGGCCAAAGTAGCTAAAATCATAAAACTATTTTAAGCCAAATCAAGCATATGTATACAGTTAATATAAAATAACAATTATACTGGCATACATTTGTTTTGCACCCTACTAGAAATGTCAAAATTACATATTAAGTTTATTAATTTTATTAAAAAATTTTATTACTGATTATTTTATTATGGCTTTATTAAAAATGAGGTCCTTGGGCAAAGGAGAAAGAGGAGTCATATCATCAAAAATTATTAGAAAAATTGTAGGTAAAAAGAAATCTCCCTACAATTTAACCAAATAAAGGAGGAAAGAGGAGTACAACACTAGGGTTGATGTCAGTTCAGGAAAATATATTTATCATTCCATCACAAACTTGTTTGGCACCTCAAAAGCTCAGCATCTGACTCTCCAGGTATTCTATTATTCTCCCACTAAGTTTCTTTACATGGAACATAAACCTATGTTTATGGTAACACTAGAATATTAAATTGCTATTTAATATGACGGCAGACAATAGGAAAACAACTTATAGGGTCAGACTAATTTTTGGCAATCTCAATACCCCTGAAAATGGAGCAAAAATGAATCATTAACAAATATTATTCAAAGAGCACTGAATTAGCTAATGTGATTTATAAAACAAGTAAAATTCAGTAATCTTCAATGGAAAAGCTATAGTATTTGATAATTAGGAATGTTCTGATGCTGATTTTTTTTCTTTTTCTTTTTTTTTTTTTACCAAAGTGGTACTCCATGCCACTACTTAAGTTGGAACAAATTCCAAACTCACACTTGCATCAGCTCAGTTTAATAATCCAATAAGTGACAAAAAAGACAAACAATGAAAACAGCATCATATAGCACAGCAGCTTTGTTTGGCTCCTTCTGGACAAAATCTTTAGTTCTTTTCATAGTTTGACCTAGAAATCCAGTTGTAGAATCAAATTGTGAATCAATTTCAGCTAATAATTGTGAATCGATTTCAGCTAATAATTTTGAATTATTTCAGTTAAAAATTTATTTTGACTTTTAACTTCACCACTTATCTCAAAGGAAGGAGGTTTTACAGAAGTTATTTTGTTTCTCAGACTTTCGGTGAGATCGTCATTTCCTTCTTCGCAGGCACTATTCCCACTGTTAGCATAGCCATGGTTCCCACAGATGCCAGGAGGCACTCCTTGGCCCAGGTCTGCACACCTCATCCTGCTAGAAGATGGAGGGAAAAGGTGGGCGGAGGGATGGGTAATTAGGGCCCAGCGAATTACCAATTTTTTCCCCTAAAGCACGCTGACATCCGGAGTGGCAGTTACTTTAGATACAATGAGGCTTCTCTGAAAAGAGGGCATTGAATGGTGAAAGGGTAAAAGTCTAAAGTTTGCTTTCTTGCTTGATTTGTAGTTTGTCTGGGTATAGATTTCTAGGTCAAAATAATTTTCACTAAAAACTCTGAAGGCATAACCCTACTGGTTTCTAGGACCCAGTGATGTTGGTGAGAAATCAGATGCCAATCATTTGTAATTATCTTTTAAAGTACATTTTATTGATTATGCTATTACAGTTGTCCCATTTTTTCT